TAGCCGGGTGTGGTGGCACGTGCCTGTAATCCAAGATTACAGGAAAATCCCCCAAATGAAGGTCTTTTGTGACCTCCTATCAGCTAATCAAATATGGAAATCTGTTCTGGACAGAGTCAGTGGCCATGCCAGGAAGCAGGCCTTAGCCAGGGCATCCCTGGAGATGGGACCTCCTGAGACAGTTTCTGTGGCGGGGAATACTGGTGGGAGAAAGTTGCCCAGAGCTGATGGTCCTGGCCTGGCTACTGTCCCCAGAGCCTCAGCCTCCCGGGCCCAGGCTGTGCTGAGGATGCCCTGGCTCTGGAGTGGGACTGTCTGGGTCCCTACTGACCTGACCCAGCTGTTCCTCTCGCCCTGGTGGGCCTTGTGGTTCCTGGGTAGGGTGGCCTGATAAAATACAGGATGTCCACTTAGATTCAAACTGCAGATAAACAAATGTGTGGGCCGGGCATGGTGGCTCACGCCTGTAATCCCAGCACTTTGGGAGGCCGAGGCAGGTGGATCACGAGGTCAGGAGATGAAGACCATCCTGGCCACCATGGTGAAACCCTGTCCCTACTAAAAATACAACAAATTAGCCAGGCATGGTGGTGTGTGCCTGTAATCCCAGCTACTCAGGAGGCTGAGGCAGGAGAATTGCCTGAACCCGGGAGGCGAAAGTTGTGGTGAGCCGAGATCGTGCCATTGCACTCCAGCCTGGGTAACAATAGGGAAACTGCGTCCCAGAAAACAAAACACAAACGTGTAAGTATATCCCAGGCAGCATCTGGGACACACACTGAAAACCGGCTTGTTGCTCTTCTGGGATCAGATGTAACTGGGTGTCCCATCCGTTTGTGTCACAGGCATCAGGACTCAGCCAGGGGGTCCTTGAGGTTTCTTTGCTCTGTCTGTCCGGCAGCCTCGTTCCTGGGCTTTCTCAGGAGGGCGCGGAGACCCTGGCATGGGGCGCCTCCTCCGTGTGCCCAGCAGAGGGTGCCCATGTTCCCGGAGGCAGCCCGGCCCCGCCCGCTAGTCCTCTGGCTTGAGGTCACGCAGGGAGGGGTGGGTGGTGGTCGCTGGGGGGCGGATGTTTCCTCACCCGGAGCCAGGCCCCACCGTCTCTGAAGAGAGAGCCGAAAGCAGGGCCCCTGCTGAGCATCTGGGAAGTGAGCTGGTGGACCGTGGTGGGCTCTGGTGGGCTGCGGTGGGCACTAGAGGCATGGTAAGTCCTCTGGGTCTGTGGGTGCCCAGCGGCTTTGCAGGCAATACGAGGTCTGCAGGTGACCCTGCTTGCCCTCACCGGATCCTGGTTTGGGGGGCAGGGGTAGAGGCTGCCCTGCATCAGGAAGCCTTCTGAGTGGGGATTTCATTGTTTCACAGGGGGTCGCCTGCGGCCTCCCCACCCTCGTGCTGTACAAGAAGCAGGTGGAAGGCCGGGCGTGGTGGCTCACGCCTGTATTCCCAGCACTTTGGGAGGCCGAGGCGGGTGGATCACGAGGTCAAGAGATCGAGACCATCCTGGTCAACATGGTGAAACCCTCGTCTCTACTAAAATACAAAAGTTAGCTGGGCGTGGTGGCGCGTGCCTGTAATCCCAGCTACTCAGGAGGCTGAGGCAGGAGAATCACTTGAACCCAGGAGGCGGAGGTTGCGGTGAGCTGAGATCGCGCCATTGCACTCCATCTTGGGTGACAAGAATGAAACTCCGTCAAAAAAAAAAAAAAAAAAAAAAAAAAAGCAGGCAGAAACCCACTCTCCCCTCGGGAACACACCGTTGCCTCCACTGTTGCTCGGGTGTCCTGCTGTGACCCACTTAAAACTTTCTCAGCGAGCTCCCTGCTGCTTTCCTATCCTCCGGGGGTGACGTCATCCCAGTACGCATGCCCTGAGCACCCACTGTGTGCCGGCTCGGGCGCGGAGACGGGGACGGTGAGCCCTTGGGCACACCGAGATGGCATGCAGCGCTTACGGATGAGGGGCAGGGAGGGGCCGTGCGGTCGGGGGTGTCCCTGCATGCAGGGCTGTTGCTGTGTGGTTTTCTTTGGTATGACCCAGTGCAAACTTCCTGACAGAGCACAGCAGACTCAGTGCTGAAGCCCTAGGGCTGCCCTGTCCCTGACAGTCAGGTTACCCGATGATGCATTAAGGGGCACCCCACCAGGGGCTGCACAGTCCTAGCGGGCTTCTGAATTCAGGGGTCCTGGATTCTGACCCTGAAGGCAGTGGTTTCCAACGCTTTTTCGTCTTCACCCCGGGAAGAAGTACCTTTTACATCTTGACCCAGCAAACACGTGATACCCACTCACTCCATATTTTGTTCAATGATGTTTCCTAGTGTTTGTCCCTGGGTCAAGCATTTCACCAACTGTTTAATCTTCTCCACAAGCCCAGGTGGTAGCTACTGTCTTGTCCCCTTTATGCAGACAGAGACTGAGGGATCCACCCACTCCCCTTCCCTGCCCACCGCCTGCACGTCATACCCACCGATGGGTACCTGCTTGGCTCCAGGAGCCCCACGCCACAAACCGTTGGGCAAGGTACTTCACCTGTCAAGTCACAGAGAAGCACAAAGTGAGGGCAGATGTCGTGCTGGCTGCATTGAGGTGGCACCTACTGTGTGCCAGGCCCCCTTCTGTCCCCTTCCCAGGTGTTTCAGTCTCCGAAGTGTCCATTTGGAAGCAGACCTGGAGCCATCCAGGTTGCAATGAGGCACGGAGGTGGCAGAGCCTGTGGAGAGGAGTTTGCTTGCCTGGGGGTGGCAGCCGGGCCCCCAGGGGCGGTCCTGCATCTAGAGGACCCAGCTTGGGGCCAAGTACCGCCACCCACTTCCAGCTCTGCCACGTGCAGGTGAAGGAGGCTGGCCAGCTCTGTCTCTGCTGGGAGGTGCCCTGGCCACACGTTCTTCCTGAAGGGAGGATCAGGCGGCTGGGGCAGCTGTAGACGCAGCTGAGAAAGCTCTGACAGAAGTCCCCTGAAGTGTGGTCGATGCAGTCAGCAAATGTAGGAGATGACCCCAATCCTGACCCTAATCCGAATTCTTGCTTCCCCAACCACATTTTAATCCTTGCCCTGCCCAGGGATTTTAAGGGCTGACCCAAATCCTGACGCAAGGGGAAGGATGGAAGGGGGAACAGCTTCCAGCCTCACCCCCACCCTCTATCCCCTCAGGTTTACCTCCTCCCGTCTCCTGGGTGTCTCCCTCCTGGCTTGGCCCAATCCCACAGCCCCCACCATCTTCCCCCCTCCCACGGTGGCAAGCCCCTCCAAGTGACCTCTCCCTTGCCCCCAGCACACAGTAGGTGCTCACTAAAGAACCCTGCCTTTCCTCGACTCCAGGGTGATGCTGCACCCTCTCCATCGTAGCAGAAAGTGCGCATGGGCTGTGAAGGCTACACGGACAGCAGCGGTCGCTCTTCTGCAGACAGGCTGAAGTGGGCAAAGTGCAGCAGGGACGCTGAAGGCGACATTAATGTGGCATTTATTTATGGCCAGCACGCTAATCCCGACGGGAGCGGGAGCCGCAGCCCAGCCCAGCCCAGCCCAGCCGCACCGTGAGTGCAGCAGGGGAACTCGAAGCCACAGGGCAGCCTGCACCGTTTCCTCCCACCCAGCACCACTGTGGCCTCTGCTGTCTCCCAGGAGCCCCGTGCCCCAGGTACAGGTGTCTGACCATCCAGGAAGCAGGGCTGAGGAGCTCCCAGCTCAAGTCCAGTTGCTGAGACGCACCCTGTTGTTGGTGTTGCTGGGGCAGGGGGCTGATGGTGGTGCTGAAGATTCAGGGTGGTGGTGGACCCCAGGGCTCAGCCTGGCCACACCCCACTGAGTGACCGGGAGTGGCAGAGGTCAAGGCTGGACTCGGGAGGGCTGGGTCTGACACTCCTGAGGCCTCCGGCTGGTCCCAGCTGAAAGGACCCAGTGTGGGCCCTTTGGGGCTCCGTTTCTTGGCTTGGACGCCCTCAGCCCCCAGGCACCCTCAGCTCAGCGCTCCCCAGGACCTGGTGGGGGCACAGACCCCGGTGCCATTTCATGGGTTCCCACCTCCCCGTACCCCCGTGCTCTTCCATGAAATGGGATCGCCAGTGTGCTGGCAGGAACGGCGCCTGGGCATGGGGTACCCCCGGGACACCCAACACCATCCGCAGGGTGGGTGCTGAGGAACCTGAGCTGCTGACATGCTGGGGATCGAAGCTGCACCAGAATTTTGAGTATTAGGAGAAAAGAAACGCCCCTGTCATTGAAGCCACGGGCCCCTTCCTGCTTTCAGAGGGTTTTTTTTTTTTTTTTTTTTTTTAATTGATCATTTTTTGGGGGACAGTCTTGCTCCATTGCCCAGGCTGGAGGGCAATGGCACGATCTCCGCTCACCGCAACCTCCGCCTCCCGGGCTCAAGCGATTCTCCTGCCTCAGCCTCCCGCGTAGCTGGGACCCCAGGCGCGCCCCGCCAAGCTAATTTTTGTATTTTTAGCACAGACGGGGTTTCAGCATGTTGGTCAGGCAGGTCTGGAACCCTTGACCACCCGTGACCGGCCCGTCTCGGCCTCCCGAAGTGCTGGGACGGCAGCTGTGAGCCGCCGCGCAGGGCCTTTCGGAGGTGTCAAGGTGCGCAGCACGGGGGCCGCTTCCCTGGAGGAAAGTTGGGGGGCCCGTCCCGCGGAGCCAGAGCGCACCTCCCCGCGGCCCAGCCGTTCGCCGCCTTCCTTCTCCACGTGGGGACCCTCGAGCCGGCACCACCGAGCGCAGCTCGGGTCAGGGCCCCGGACTCCAGGCGGACGGTCCCCGCGGCGCCTGCACGGTCGCCCCACCCGCTCCTCCCGGCGCCGCGGGCGGGGGCAGAGTCCACGCCTCCCCGGCCCCGCCGCACCCGCCCGGCCGCTCCCCTCCTCTTCCCTCTACTCCCCCCTCCTCCCCTCTCCTCCGCCTTCCCGTCCGTCCCCTCCCCTCCCCTCCCCTTCCCTTCCCTCTACACCCACCTCCTTCTCCCTCCAGTCCCTCCCCTCCCCTCCCGTTCCCCCCTCCCCTCCCCTCCACTCCCCTCTCCTCCCCCTCCTTTCCCTCCGCGCGGGGCGGGCTCCACGGCCATGTGACGCGCGGCCAGGCTGGGACGCGCAGGGAGCGGCGTCGGGGGGCCGCGGGCATGCAGCGGAGGTGGGTCTTCGTGCTGCTCGACGTGCTGTGCTTGCTGGTCGGTAAGAGCTGCGGGGCCCGGGTGTGGGGACCGCCCCCGGGACGGACACGGCCCGCTCCACGCAGGTTCAGCGACCGGGAGGCCGCGCGCCCTAGTCCCTCCGCGGGCCCCGGAGGCCGCACCTCCCTCCAGCACCGTGCCGCGCGCACCTGCCAGGCCTCGGGGTCCCTGCGTCTTGGGCCCGGGGGGGATTGGGGGTCTTGAAGCGCCCGGGACTCCAGGGCTGCCTCCCCGCCCGGCAGCAGGAAGTGGCGGTGCAGGGGCCGCGCGCAGCTCCCTCCCTCGCGGTGATTCACGCGGGCCGCTGGCCCTGGGGGTGGGAGCAGCCGCTGATCTCCCTGGACGTCCGCGCCTCCGCCCCCGGGTGGGCGCTCTGGGTGCTAGCGGAGGGGCCTACCCGGCCCTGGCGCCCAGCGCGTCGGTGGGATTCGAACCCCTGCGCCTCAGGCGGGGGAGACACTTGGAGAGAAAAGGTGGGTCCCAGGCTTCGGGGCCTCGGGAGACCCAAACAAACCTGTCCTGCGGGTTTTCGGGCCAGGTAGAGGAAGCAGCGGCCCGAAGCACCCCCCCTCCCCCGGGGTCCCGGGAACAAAGGCCAAGTGTTTGCTCTGTGGCTGAAGGGACAATGGCCCCGCGGATCTGTCCCCGCGGGGGGCGGGGGTGCGCTCCTCCTCAGCGCCTTTCCTGGTTCTCTGGCCAAGCCCTCTGAACTCCGAAGTAGACCCTCGTTAGGGGGGGCCAGGGGACAGCACGAGGTCCCCGTGGGGTGTCTGCCAGCCCTGGGTGCCATGTCCTGAGCAGCTGTGCTGTCAGTTACTTAAACATGTGTGTGGCACTTTCTGGCAGCCAGGCGCTCAGCAGCATGCAGATAACCGAAACGGTTCCGAAAACGGCCTGTGAGGGAGGGGCAGCCGCGGAGGGAGTCGCCTGCTGGAGGCCGCACAGCTGGGAGGTGCCTCCGGGGTGGGGTTGGGTGTGGCTGCTGCATGCCAGGGGTGGCGGCCAGGCCGAGGTCACCTCCATCTGGAAGCTGCGGCCCGTCACAGTGCAGTCCACAGGTTCCAGACGGGGCTTGTGGGGGCAGCGTGAGGGCGGGAAGGCTCCCGGGGGTCAAAGGAAGAGAAGGTGCCTGTTCCGGGGACCCCAGGGTGAGCTTTCCAGGCAGAGGGAAGCCCGAGGGCCGGTTGTCATGGGGGTGTCTGAGTCTCTAGCTGGAGTTACTGGGGCAGGGAGGTCGGAAACGGAGGCCAACCGGTGTGAGCCTCCGCCTGCTGAGAGCCGCGGGGAGCGGCTGCAGTCCTGTGACCCTGACCTTCCACCGCGGGGCAATTGCAGGAGCCTCCTCCCTGGTCTCTGCCCTCAACCGCGGCGCTAGCCGCCCCTGCGCCCCAGCAGAAGCCGGGCTCTTACAGCGCATCCCGCTCTGCCCCAGCGCTCGGCTCTCCAGGCACCGTCTAGGCTCCGGACCCCTGCCCGTTCTGTTCTGCAGTCCCTCCGCCTTTTCTGCCCTGTGAGGCAGACCTCTGCTGTCTTCACTGCTTTATTTCCCCAGACTCAGCCAGCATCGAAGGCGTGCCGTGTCCTAGGACCCTTGCAGCTGGCATGCAGGGAGGAGTGTGAGGCTCCCTGTCCCTCCTCAGACTCTCAGAATTCAGAAGAGCCATGCTTTTTTTCCTTGCCCTGCTGAGCCAAAGACGCCCTGTCTTCTTTTCTCTCTGGGGTAGACACCCCATGCTTTCGCTGTGCACCTGCCGGGTGGAACAGGGAGCTGCCCCCGCCCCTGCCCTCTGTAGCTGACTCCGGCTTCCCTGGCCCCTCGGCTCAGCAGGGCCCCGGGAGCCCTAGTGCCTTGTGACATCTTCTGTAAGTGTGGAATTGAGAAGAATGTGCCTTTCGTCCCTGAGTTACAGTGTGGCTGGCATGTGCCCTGGCATGAGGGTCAGTGACGGGCAGGGGCGAGCATGAAGGCACCTCCATTGTGCCCCTGCTTTGGCACTTTCCTGACTTCTCTGGCCAGCTCTTAGGTTGACATAAGTCCTGCCTGTTTTAACAGATGTTTATTAAACATCTGCCCTGGCCAGGCTCTGAGCAGCCTCCAGGGTCTCTGTCCTGAATACAATAGGCCCCTCCTGGTGCTGGCGGGTGGAGGTGGGGAGATTAAGTCCAATGTCCTACAGGCGACTGCATAATTCCACATGGGGACAATAGGGAAAAAGAATAGACCTTCCCTTTTATTTTTATTTATTTATTTTCTTTTTATAAATTGAGACAGAGTCTCACCCTGTTGCCAGGCTGGAGTGCAGTGGCACGATCCCGGCTCACTGCAACTTCCATTTTCTGGTTTCAAGCGATTTTCTTGCCTCAGCCTCCTGAGTAGCTGGATTACAGGCACGCTCCTCCACGTCCGGCTAAGCAGACTTTCCTTTTGTGAGAGGGACTCCGGTGTGGACAGCCGGGAGGGGAGATGAAACTGAGTGGAAGTGAGAGTCACTTTGGTGCCCAGGCACATTGTCTCACACCTGTAATCTCGGCACTTTGGGAGGCTGAGGCTGGGGGGGTCGCTCCAGCCCGGAGTTTGTGACCAGGCCATGGTCAGCATGAGACCCCTGTCTCTACTTTTAAAAATAAAAATAAGGTATTTTGGGCAGAGAGAAGTGCCTGTGCAAAGGCCCTGAGGTGAGAGTTTACCCGGTTTGTTCAAGGAGCAGAGGGGAGGGTGTGAGGGGGAGAGGGCCTGGGGAGTTTGTGCTCATCTGAGGACGATGGGAAAGGGGTGTCACTTGGGCCTCCCACGTGCTGTGAGAAAAGCTCTTCCTTGCTGTCAGGTGGGAGGCCTCGAGGCAGGGCAGGTGTCGGGGCCCCACAGCCCAGCTGGTTGGAGAACATCGCAGCTCCCAGGCCCTTCTCCCCCTCCAGCCTCCCTACCCTTCGCTGTCCTGTCGCTGGTGAATGCCCCGTATAAGCGAGGATTTTACTATGGGGATGACTCCATCCGGTACCCCTACCGTCCAGACACCATCACCCATGGGCTCATGGCCGGGGTCACCGTCACGGCCACCGTCATCCTTGTAAGGCAGGAGGGGTTCAGAGTGACAGGGAGGGGGGCAGGATGGGGTACAGCCTTACCCTGGGTTCCTGATGGGGGTGGCCTGGAGGTCTGTGGGGGGCTGGGGGACACAGCCTTGTCCTGAGTGGTACTTGCGGGTCATAGGACCCCCCCTTTTGTTTTTTGAGACGAAGTTTTGCTCTTGTTGCCCAGGCTGGAGTGCAATGGCAGGGTCTCTGCTCACTGAAACCTCTGCCTCCTGGGTTCAAGTGATTCTCTTGCCTCAGTCTCCCCAGTTGCTGAGACTACAGGTGAGCGCCATCACACCCCCTAGTTTTGTATTTTTAGTAGAGACGGGTTTCACCATGTTGGTCAGGCTGCTCTTGAATGCCCGACCTCAGGTGATCTGCCCGCCTCAGCCTCCCAAAGTGCTGGGATGGAAGGCGTGAGCCACCTGAGCCCATCTAGGGTCCCTTTAGAGTCCCCAGGTCTTCAGCAGCCTTGGGGAGGCCTGTGGGGAAAACTGAGGCCCAGTGAGGGCCCACAGGCTGACTGCACGCAGGTCTCGGCGGGAGAAGCCTACCTGGTGCACACGGACCGGCTCTATTCCCGCTCCGACTTCAACAACTACGTGGCTGCCGTGTACAAGGTGCTGGGGACCTTCCTCTTCGGGGCGGCTGTGAGCCAGTCTCTGACGGACCTGGCCAAGTACACAATCGGCCGCCTGCGCCCCAACTTCCTGGCCGTCTGTGACCCCGAGTGGAGCCGGGTCAACTGCTCGGTCTACGTACAGCTGGAGAGCGTGTGCAGGGGAAAAGCTGCTGACGTCACCGAGGCCAGGTGGGTGTGGACGAGCAGTGGGTGTGGACTGGGGGCAGTGGGAGCTGAAGAAGCCGCAGAAGCCAGATGGTTAGCAGCCGGCAGGCAGGGGGTCAGGCGGGAGCGGGGCCTCAGGGCTCCAGGCGCCCCGCAGACAGCAGGAGGCGGCGGGGAGGGTGCTCTGTCTTCCCCGAGTCTCAGCCCTGCTCTCTTCTGCGCTGTCTTCTTACCATCTCTACTGATAGGTCCTTAAACGTTTCAACTCATCGTTGTCCTTTTTAAAAAATCAAAATATTGACTGACAAGCCTAGGGTCATGTCAGACCAAAAAAAAAAAAATCAAAATGAAATTTGTATAAGTCACCATTTCTTCCATTTTAATGTGTACAGTTCATTTTTAGTACATCCACAATGCTGTACAGCCATCTCCTCTACCTAATTCCAGAATATTTTCATCTCATCAGAAGGAAACCCCCCAGCATGGGTAACATGGCAAAACACCGTCTCTACGACAAATCAAAAAATTAGGCCGGGCTAGGTGGCTCATGCCTGTAATCCCTGCACTTTGGGAGGCTGAGGCGGGTGGATCACCTGAGGTTGGGAGTTCAAGACCAGCCTGGCCAACATGGAGAAATCCTGTCTCTATTAAAAATACAAAATTAGCCAGGCATGGTGGCACACGCTTGTAATCCCAGCCACTCGGGAGGCTGAGGCAGGAGAATTGCTTGAACCCGGGAGGTGGAGGTTGTGGTGAGCTGAGATTGTGTCATTGCAGTCCAGCCTGGGCAACAAGAGTGAAACTCCATCTCAAAGAAAAAAAAAAATTAGCCAGGCCTGGTGGTGTGCACCTGCAGTCCCAGCTACTGGGGAGGCTAGAGGCGGGAGCGGCACTTGAACTCGGGAGGTAGAGGTTTCAGTGAGCCAAGATTGTGCCCACCCCAGGCTGGGTGACAGAGTGAGACCCTGTCTCAAAAAAAGGAAAGGAAACAAAGAACTTTTGTACCCATTAGCTGTCACTCCTTCCCCAGCCCCTGGCAGCCGCCACTATCCTATTTTCTGTCTGTAGATTTGCGTGTTCTCAATGTTTCATATAAATGGAATCATACACTATGTGGTCTTTGGCGTCTGCCTTCTCTTTTTCTAACTTTTTTTTTTTTTTTTTTTTGACAGGGAGTTTTGCTCTTGTTGCCCACACTGGAGTGCACTGGTGTGATCTTGGCTTACCGCAACCTCTGCCTCCTGGGTTCAAGCGATTCTCCTGTCTCTGCCTCCTGAGTAGCTGGGACTACAGGCACCTACCAACACGCCTGGCTGATTTTGTATTTTTTACTAGAGACGGGGTTTCCTCCATGTTGGCCAGGCTGGTCTCGAACTACTAACCTCAGGTGATCTGCCCACCTTGGCCTCCCAAAGTGCTGGGATTACAGGCATGAGCCACTGTGCCTGGATTCTTTTTCTAATTAAAAAAATGTTGGGCCGGGCGCGGTGGCTCAAGCCTGTAATCCCAGCACTTTGGGAGGCCGAGGCGGGTGGATCACGAAGTCAAGAGATCGAGACCGTCCTGGTCAACATGGTGAAACCCCGTCTCTACTAAAAATACAAAAAATTAGCTGGGCATGGTGGCACGTGCCTGTAATCCCAGCTACTCAGGAGGCTGAGGCAGGAGAATTGCCTGAACCCAGGAGGTGGAGGTTACGGTGAGCCGAGATCGCGCCATTGCACTCCAGCCTGGGTAACAAGAGCGAAACTCCGTCTCAAAAAAAAAAAAAAAAATGTTGGGGGGCTGTGCAAGATGGCTCACACCTGTAATCCCATCACTTTGGGAGGTTGAGGTGGGCAGATCACCTGAGGTCAGGAGTTTGAGACCAGCCCAGCCAAAAGTAAGCTGGGTGTAGTGGCGCATGCCTATAATACCAGATGCTCAGGAGGCCCAGGCAGAGAATCAGTTGAACCTGGGAGGCAGAGACCGCAGTGAGCCAAGACGGTGCCATTGCACTCCAGTCTGAGTGAGAAAGTGAGACTCTGACTGGAAAAAAAAAAAAAATTTGGCCAGAAATGATGGTTCACACTTGTAATCCCAGCACTTTGGGAGGCCGAGGTGGGCAGATCACTTGAGGCCAGGAGTTCAAGACCAACCTGATCAACATGGAGAAATCCCATCTCTACTAAAAATACAAAAATTAGCCTGTCCTGGTGATGGATGCCTGTAATCCCAACTACTCAGGAGGCTGAGGCGGGAGAATTGCTGGAACCCGGGAGGTGGAGGTTGCAGTGAGCTGATTGTGCTCCAGCTCGGGAGACACGAGACTCTGTCTCAAGAAAAAAAATTGTTTTTGTTTTGCTCAAAACTATAGGAAAAAAAAAAGAAAAGGAAAAAAAAAGAGGATAAGTGAATAGAATAAAAACAAAGTTGTTTTTGTGTGTTTTTAGTGATTGAACACAGTGTATTCTTGTGTTTTGGAAGTTCATGTTGTAACGTTCTGTCCTCTTTTGCTTTATGTATTTTGGAGTTCTGTGGTTTACTACATTTACATTTATAATTGCTATATCTTTTTTTTTTTTGAGATGGAGTTTCGCTCTTGTTACCTAGGCTGGAGTGCAATGGCGCGATCTCGGCTTACCGCAACCTCCGCCTCCTGGGTTCAGGCAATTCCCCTGCCTCAGCCTCCTGAGTAGCTGGGATTACAGGCACGCGCCACCATACCCAGCTAATTTTTTGTACTTTTAGTAGAGACGGGGTTTCACCATGTTGACCGGGATGGTCTCGATCTCTTGACCTTGTGATCCACCCGCCTCGGCCTCCCAAAGTGCTGGGATTACAGGCTTGAGCCACTGCGCCCGGCCTATAATTGCTATATCTTTTTTTTTTTTTTTTTTTTTTTTGAGACGGAGTTTCGCTCGTTACCCAGGCTGGAGTGCAATGGCGCGATCTCGGCTCACCGCAACCTCCGCCTCCTGGGTTCAGGCAGTTCTCCTGCCTCAGCCTCCTGAGTAGCTGGGATTACAGGCACGTGCCACCATGCCCAGCTAATTTTTTTGTATTTTTAGTAGAGACGGGGTTTCACCATGTTGACCGGGATGGTCTCGATCTCTTGACCTCGTGATCCACCCGCCTAGGCCTCCCAAAGTGCTGGGATTACAGGCTTGAGCCACCGCGCCCGGCCCCTACCTCTGTTTTTTGCCTTCTCTGCTCTCGTGGCCCCAGGCAGCAGAGACGAACAAATTTGTTGTAAATGTTTGGGAGAATGCCCGGTCAGGGGAGATCAAGATCAGCCCTCGAGCCATACCCTAGTCCACAGTTGCAAATAAGGCCCCTTCTCTGAACCTGTGCTGGGCGTGTGGTCTGTTACCCTCAGGCCACCACGGTCTAGGCGCTGCAAGAGGGACCAGGATGAGTTAAAATGCCACAAAGCTGTTTGTTCTGAGATCCAACTGGATTATCTTTTTTTTTTTTTTTTTTTTTTTTTTGATGGAGTCTCGCTGTGTTGCCCAGGCAGTGGCGTGATCTTGGCTCACCCCAACCTCCACCTCCCAGGTTTTCAAGTGATTCTCCTGTCTCAGCCTCCTGAGTAGCTGGGATTATCGGCATGTGGCACCACGCCTGGCTAATTTTTGTATTTTTAGTAGAGACGGGGTTTCACCATGTTGGTCAGGCTGGTCTTGATCTCCTGACCTTGCGATCTGCCGGCCTCGGCCCCCCGAAAGTGCGGGGATTACAGGCATGAGCCACCGCGCCCGGCCTCAACTGGATTATATTAATCAAGTGTTCGTCTGGTTCCCGAAAGCTTTTGATTAGGTCCAAAAAAGTTGATTGTGGCCGGGCGTGGTGGCTGACGCCTGTAATCCAAGCACTTTGGAGGCCAAGGTGGGCGGATCACCTGTCTTTTTTTTTTTTTTTTTTTTTTTTTTTTGAGATGGAGTTTCGCTCTTGTTACCCAGGCTGGAGTGCAATGGCGCGATCTCGGCTCACCGCAACCTCTGCCTCCTGGGTTCAGGCAATTCTCCTGCCTCAGCCTCCTGCGTAGCTGGGATTATAGGCACGCACCACCATGCCCAGCTAATTTTTTTTGTATTTTTAGTAGAGACGGGGTTTCACCATGTTGACCAGGATGGTCTCGATCTCTCGACCTCGTGATCCACCCGCCTCGGCCTCCCAAAGTGCTGGGATTACAGGCTTGAGCCACCGCGCCCGGCGAAACCCTGTCTTTAAAAAAAAAAAAAAAGTTGATTGTGACTTTTTTTTGCCAGTTTTTTGCTTCCTATTTGCTGTGTTTCATTCATGTCCTTTACGGAATCTCGAATTTATATAAAAAGAAATCTCCCCTCAGTTCCACAGATGGGAGAAAATCCTGAAAAGAGACGCAGTGAAAACGAAACCGGTGTTGCCTGCTTGCTGGACACTACCATCCGCCCTGGGTGTTGGGTTCAGGCCTCAGAGTCTTCACGGGTGAGGCGTCTCATGCCACAGCCCCAACTGGAGACTCTGATTCCATCATCAGATAACTGGAAAGGACAGAGGGAGCAGCCTTTGCTCCTGGGATTTGGTGGCCTGTAACGTCGGCAGCTCCCGTGTTGAACCCTCCCTTCTGTGGGAGGGTTGGGGGCGAGGGGAGGTTGGAAGATGCCAACTGAGCCGCCTGCCCTCTGACCTGCTACCTCTCCTTCTCCAGGTTGTCGTTCTACTCGGGACACGCCTCCTTTGGGATGTACTGCATGGTGTTCCTGGCAGTGAGTCCGTTTTTCCGGGGCTCGCCTGTCAAGTCACTCCCTTCCCTGGACCTCGGTTTTCCCAGCTGTAGAATGGGTGGGTTGTGGTGGTGATGGGCGCACTCACTGACTTGTTTGTAAAGACATGAGGCCCTGGGCTGGCCGGTTTTGTGCCCCCAGCCTCGGAGCCGCCATCTGTGCGGTGGGCGTGGGAGGGCCTGGCAGGGCACAGGCTGAGGCGCCCTTTCCTGTCCCAGCTCTACGTGCAGGCGCGTCTCTGCTGGAAGTGGGCGCGGCTGCTGCGCCCCACGGTCCAGTTCTTCCTGGTGGCCTTTGCCCTCTATGTGGGCTACACCCGCGTGTCTGATCACAAACACCACTGGAGCGACGTCCTCGCTGGCCTCCTGCAGGGGGCGCTGGTGGCTGGCCTCACTGTGAGCTTCTGACCCTGACTCACCCCCTGTGCTGTCCAGAGACCGCTCCCTGCCCAACCCTGGTCCTGCCCTGCACGCTCTTGCCCCACGGAGTCGTCCCCTGGGGCCCTTCCTCCAATCCCGGTCCTGCCCTGGGACCCCTCCTTCCCCCTGTTTCTCCCCTGGGACCCCTACCCCCAACTCCAGTCCATCCCTGGACCCCTCCTTTTCCCCCCATCCTCCCCTGGGACCTCTTCCCCCAACCCCAGGCTTTTCTGAGGGCCCCTCCCTTCCCCCATTCCTCCCCTTGGGACCCTTTTCCCCAACCCCAGTCCATCCCTGGGACCCCTCCTTCCCCCATTCCTCTGCTGATACTACTTCCCCCAACCCCAGTCCTCCCTTAGATCCCTCCCTTCCTCCCCCACATCCTACCCTGGGACCCCTTGTCCCAACCCCAGTCCATTCATGGAACCCCTCCTTCCCCCATTCCTCCCCGGGACCCCTCTCCCCAAAGCCAGTCCTTCCCTGGACACCTTCTTCCCCCAGTTCCTTCCCTGGGTCTCCTGCCCTGCACACCGCAGCCCTTCCCTGGGCTCATCGGTGCCCCAGTGCTCTCCACTGGTCCTCCACTAAGAGGGCTCTCTTCCCCCACAGGCACTCTTCCTCTCATTGTCCACCTGGGACCCTGTTCCTCCCCCTCCTGCTCATGCCCATGACCCTGGTGCCTGCCCAGTCTCACCTTCCTCCACTCTGCCAGGTCCCATACATCTCAGACTTCTTCAAAGCCCAACCCCCACAGCACTGCCCGAAGGAGGAGGAGCTGGAATGGAAGCCCAGCCTGTCACTGACAGTGACCCTGGGCGAGGCTGACCACAACCACTATGGGTACCCGCACTCCTCCTCCTGACACTGGACCCCGCCCAGGCAGGGGGTGGCCATGAGTCCAGCTGAGGCCAGCCCCCCAGGTGGTCCCTCTGGCCCTGGGTAGGCACTGAGGGCTCCAGACAAGCTCCGGGAACCCTGAGTAGGCTCTGCTGCCCCCTGCCCTGCACTGGACCAGGGGTCTGGGGAGGCCTAGGTAGCCCTGAGCATTTGGAGGGGGACCTGTTTCTGTAGCTCCCCAAGTATCCCCATTCTTTTATGGGGTTAAGTAAGGGACTGTTTTGTAAAATGTAATGTACATGTGGTTTTTAGTAAAATGGGGCATTGGTTTGGTGAGTCGTCTCAGTGCCTCTGTTTCTTATGGCCATTCTGGGACGGTGTTCCTCCTGTCAGAGGGCTCCACAGAACTCAGGCATCAGGCCGACTCACCCGCTATGACGGTGGAGGACAGCAGCCAAGCCCGCCCCTTGCGTTTCTCCCTGCATGGTGCTGGGGTCAAGGGTCAGATGGGTCAGCACACACCTCTCCCCTCTGCTCATGTCCACCCTGTGCACCTGGGGGCCACACTTCTGAAATGGGTAACTCAGGGGCTGGTTTCCCTGAAGTGATGGCAGAACACACAGAGCTTACTTTTTCAACAGAAGGGTAAAGGGTACATTTGTTTTTTTTACAGGTGGTAACTTAAATGTCTGCTGATGTTTTGTTTGCACCTGGAACCTCTCTTATTCCCTCACCCCGCAGGGTGTTCCTATCAGGCCTTAGCCTTCGGGAAGGGTGGTGTAGCCCTGGGGGACAAAATTGCAGCCCGGGAGCCCCACCCAAGGGGCCGCGATGGAGACCTGCCCTTGGCAGTCGGGAAGGAAGGTGACCCAGACCCTGCGGAACTCCAGCTGAATGTCAGGAACTTGCCTCCATGCAGGTGTCAGACGGGATTCTGGATGGGAAAGTCACACTGAAGCCTCCCGGGTATCCTAGGGTGCAGGCAGCAGGCAGTGAGACTGAGGAAGCTGTGTCTGGGCTCAGAATGTGAGTCTCTGGCAGTGGGTGGGAGAGAGGTTCCCAGCCAGATCCCACAAAGAGAGTCACTGCATCAGGAGTAAATGGGAATGACCCAGGTGCCCTGACAGCAGCCAACACCTCCGTCTCCTCCCAGCGCAATGGCCTTGAAAGCCAGGACCACAGAGAGGGTTGAGCACGAGTCTGTGGGAACAGCTGCAGTGCACAGGACCCCGGTGTAGTCTGCTGGGAGCAGGTGGCCATGTTGGGATGAGGGGTGAAGACTGAGGAGAGGAGGAAGTTTGGAGTGAGGGAGAGGATGTGGCTGAGTCTGGCTGCTGGCCTTGGCTGGGAGAATCTCAGTGCTTCAGAAAGAGCATGTGCACCCCACGGCTGTGAGAGCAGAGAAAGAAAGGGCTGTACTGACCAGAGCCATCCCCAGAGGGTCCTCAGGAGCCAGGAGGGCCAAGCTCTAGGAGCCGGTGGCCTGTCTCTCCGTTTGGGTGCTGCCCAGCTGGGCTACACATGCACTGCTCTGCATCTGTTGGGAAAAGCCGGGACGCAGAGTGTCAGGCTCAGAAATTCTCACAGGTTCCCAGTACCAAGATGGCAGGCAGGGCAGCAGTTAGGACACATTTCTCCACCCACACAGAGCTCTGGGGAAGCTCTCATGCATAATTTTGGGTTTACACTGCCCACACCCTTATGATTTCATGGGAAAAAAATAGTATTTTCTCTCGTTGTACAAGGAGGATTTTTTTCTGTTGTTTCTCACAGGAAACTGAGATTCTTAGCCATGTAAATATCATTTCCCATGGCTGCGACCTCGTGGCCTGGCATTTCTCCCAGCTTCTGAGGTTAATTGGTTTCTGAAGACCTCCTCCTGGCCGGGCACAGTGGCTCACACCTGTAATCCCAGCACATTGGGAGGCCGAGGCCAGTGGATCACAAGGTCGGGAGATTGAGAGCATCCTGGCCAATATGATGAAACCCCGTCTCTACTAAAAATGCAAAACTTTACCGGGCATGGTGGCGGATGCCTGTAATCCCAGCTATTTGGGAGGCTGAGGCAGGAGAATCACTCAAACCCAGGAGGCAGAGGTTGCAGTGAGCTGAGATTGCGCCACTGCTCTCCGGCCTAGCGACAGAGCGAGACTAGGTCTCAAAAAATAAAAATAAATAAAAAAAAAATAAAAAAAAAACAAGGAAACTCCTCCTATTTGATGATATATATTCAGGGTTTTTTTGAACGTGTCAGCTACCATATGTTATCCTGGTTTTGTAGGAAACCATACATATTTTGTTTTTTAGACACAGGGTCTCATTCTGTCGCCCAGGCTGGAGTGCAGTGGTGCAATTACTGCTCACTGCAGCCTCGACCTCCCAGGCTCAAGCGATGTTCCTGCCTCAGCCTCCTGAGTAGCTGGGACTACAGGCACCCACCACCACACCCCACTTTCATGCTTTTTTTTTTTATATAGGTGCATACTGAAGTATTTAGGAGTGAAATTTTGTGAGATCTGCAAATTACAATATTTCATAATATAAAAACATGAAGCAGACATGGCAACATATTAGTAACTATTAAATCTGTTTTGTGTATGTGGGTATCATTATGCCATGCTCTGTACTGCATTTGGAAAATTTTTAACTCAAAAAAGAAAAATTCTGCCTGAGAAAATTTTTGTAAGTTCAAAATGTCATTACCTTTACTTTTAGTGAGACAATATATCTTTTTCTTTCTTTCTTTTCTTTTCTTTTTTTTTTTTTTGAGGAGTCTTGCCCTGTTGCCCAGCCTAGAGCGCAGTGGTGTGATCTTGGCTCACTGTAACATCCACCTCCTGGGTTCCAGTGATTCTCCTACTTCAGCCTCCCAAGTAACTGGGATTACAGGCGCCCTCCACCATGCCCAGCTAATTTTTGTATTTTTAGTAGAGAAAGAGTTTCTCCATGTTGGCCAGGCTGGTCTCGAACTCCTGACCTCAGGTGATCCACCCTCCTCAGCCTCCCAAAGAGCTGGAATTACAGGTGTGAGCCACTACATCTGGCTATTTATTCCTCAACTGAATTTCTGTTTGAATTGAAACAACATAAAATCCTAATTTTGATAACATTATTTACATTTTTTACATTAGTTACTGGAACACGATGCTAGAAGGCAGCGTTTCCTCAACCTCACCTGGCAGTGGTGTGGCCTGCGGCCTTCCGGACAGCATTGTGGGTGGGGATTTGGGGGGGTGTGAACCCCCGGGCTGGCTCAGCAGTGTGGTCTGGGCCTTTTCCCAGAGGCTTCTTAGCCCCAAGCCTCATTGTCCACCCCCAGTCTCCTCAACAGCGAGAGGCACATTGTCCTGCTGTGTAGAGAATCTTAGTTCTTCTGCCGCATATTTTCAGAAGCTGGACAGCTCCCAAGTTTCATCCCCTGTGTCAGAAATCACTTTGCAAGTCATACCCTGCCGCAGCATTTTGTTAGCCTGTTTTGTTGTTGTTCTTTGTTTTTTTCTTTTTTTGAGATAGAGTTTTACTCTTCTTGCCCAGGCTGGAGTGCAGTGGCACGACCTCGGCTCACTGCAACCTCTGCCCTCCAGGGTCAAGCAATTCTCCTGCCTCAGCCTCCAGAATAGCTGAGATTACAGGCACCTGCCACCATGCCCAGCTAAGGTTTTTGTATTTTTAGTAGGGACAGGGTTTCACCATGTTGGCAAGACTGGTTTCAAACTCCTGACCTCAAGTGATCCACCCGCATCAGCCTCCCAAAATGCTGGGATTACAGGTATGAGCCACTGCACCCTGCCGAGCCTCTTTTGTGACAGTTGTGATTCGTTGGATCTAAGCCGAGTTTGTTTTTACCCTGACTTGCTGTTTATAAGCAGGCAGCCTAGTTTAGACATTTTAATGGCATTACAGGGATGGGAAATCCCTGGAAAGAATTAGCCGACCAGGCAAGGTGTGTGGTGAGGGCATTGCATGGCAGGTGGAATAAATGAGTAAAGAAGACTTACCTGAGGCCGGGTGCGGTGACTCACACCTGTAATCCCAGCACTTTGGGAGGCCCAGGTGGGTGGAGCACCTGAGGTCAGGAGTTCGAGACAAGCCTGACCAACGTGGAGAAACCCCATCTCTACTAAAAAAAAAAAAAAAAATATATATATATATATATATATATATATATACATATATATATATATATATATATATAATTAGCTGGGCATGGTGGTACATTCCTGTGATCCCAGCTACTTGGGAGGCTGAGGCAGGAGAATCACTTGAATTACAGGTGTGAGCCACTATGCCCAACCTCAGCTGGGCATGGTGGCTCACGCCTGTAATCCCAGCACTTTGGGAGGCCAAGGCGGGTGGATCACGAGGTCAAGAGATCGAGACCATCCTGGTCAACATGGTGAAACCCCGTCTCTACTAAAAATACAAAAAATCAGCTGGGCATGGTGGCACGTGCCTATAATCCCAGCTACTCAGGAGGCTGAGGCAGGAGAATCGCTTGAGCCCAGGAGGTGGAGGTTGCAGCGTTGAGCTGAGATCATGCCACTGCACTCCAGCCTGGGTGACAGAGCAAGACTCCATCTCTAAAAAAAGAAAAAAAGGCCGGACGTGGTGGCTCAAGCCTGTAATCCCAGCACTTTGGGAGGCCGAGGTGGGTGATCACGAGGTCAGGAGATCGAGACCATCCTGGTCAACGTGGTGAAACCCCGTCTCTACTAAAAATACAAAACATTAGCTGGGCATGGTGGCACGTGCCTGTTATCCCAGCTACTCAGGAGACTGAGGCAGGAGAATTGCCTGAACCCAGGAAGTGGAGGTTGCGGTGAGCCGAGATCGCGCCATTGCACTCCAGCCTGGGTAACAAGAGTGAAACTCCATCTCAAAACAAAACAAAACAAAACAAAACCTTTCAGCCTTCCCAAAGGTTTGAGACTATACATTTCTAACTTTCCCTAATGTTTTCCTCCTATTTTGCCAGCCACCCCGAGTAAATCCCAAAGCACAGTGAAAGCCACATTTGGAATCTTTTAGCTGCTGGCTGTGTGGAAAATCACTTGCATCCCCAGCGTTCAACTATAAAAAGGCAAGTATTTATACTGAAGAGCACAGAATTTTGTGACTATAATAAAAGATAATATGAGAGACTCCTGGCAAGATTTGATGCATGAAAATGCTCATACATAGATTGCAGACAAACATGTACATGTTAATGGAAGTGCCAGTCACACTTTGGATCTTGTAATCAGGAGGCCGTCATCGCACCCTGTGAACGTGAGAACCTAGTTCCAAATCAGCTACTGCCAACAAGCTTGGGTCAGG